TAATATAATATACTAAAACAGTACATGTCAAAAGTAAAAAAGATAGCAAGATAAATGTAACGTAAGTTAAAAAAAAAAAGTTCCGTAAACGTTATATACCTCTAGTTGCCATGCTCCTGACGACATCGCCAATATATTGTCGATATGTGTGGATTAATGCAAACTTACGGATCATTGAGGCGGTCCAAACGTGCAACTGTCTAGCAGAAACCTTTTGGCGAGATGAGGGATGCAACCTTGGTGAGCAAAGCTGGTGCGTGCGCAGCAGCAACGGGGACACGTCCAGCACCAAAGGATAAAATTCGTCAGCGTTCGGCGACCAACTCGCTCGCACTGGCGGAGGTTTGTGCACGAACGAACGACGTCTACTACACCACGGCAAGGTCGACATGGGAGATGAGAGGCGACAAGATAGCTAGAACCCTGGATGGAAGAGCTTACGGGCACTGCTGTACTACTTGCGCGGATCAGCACTGATGCGTGTAGTGGAACTAAGTGACCATCGGCGCTCAGAAATAGACAGGCTGATTAAAACAGGACAGTGAGTTGACTGCATGCACATCTTGCGAATACGTCTCTCATTTAAGGTGGGTTGGTCGCAGTGGCTTGGTTAGTGCATGGGGGCGGGACGTTTGGGTAAAGCCATGATGTCGGAGAAAGCCATGTGGCGAGAGAGCAGAAGTTAGTTAGAAAAGAGCTAGTTACAAAGAGAAAGAATGAGCAAGAGGGTAAATAGACAGAAAACGAAAAAAGAGACAGTGAAAGAAACAAGGAAAGAGATAACGAAAGAGAAAAATAACGAAAAATAAGAACGAGAAATAGCAATTCAAAGCGACAGAGAAAGTAACTGAAAAATAAAGTACAACATTTATACATGGAAGAAAGAAGGACGGCGAATGAAAGAAAACGAGGAGATGGATGGCGAGACAGAAAACTGGTAGCGTTGAGTATAAATGTAATATAATACGTATAACAAGAGGGATTTCTGGAGTGGAATGCTTCGCAGGGTAATGATCGCGATATGTGAATGTCCTCTACACTAGAGCGTATAACTGCGAACACATAATGTTATCTGCCACTGTGAGAGCGCGTCTCTCCGCTTCCTTTTTTTCTCTTTTTGTCCATGTGCGTGCGTGCGTGCGATAGGGCGTGCGTGAATGTGTGCGTGCGGGCGGACATGCGAGGGCGTGGGCAACTACAAGCCCACAGTTCCCACACGCACTACCGCCAGATCGACCGGCTTATGATGTATTTATATGGCTTATGGTGTGTTTTTTTTGCCATTTTCGCCACCTCAAGCGACTTGAAGAATAAATGGCATCACCATTTGGCTTCATTCCCAAATACAAGACCCAATCTGCCATCATTGTCGCCCATAGAGTAAAGGACGCGTGTCTTTATCCTGGGTTTAACCGTCATTGTTGGCAGCCACTAAGCAGTGACTAAGCGGTGACTGACTTAGCAGCACAGAGTGCAAGTTTCCAAGACCTTCGTTAATGGCCCGGGTGCCGTGGTAAGCGATTGTAAGACGTCTTCATGGCCGAGGTGGCTCCGCTAAGTCTCCCACATAGTGTGTGGCCAGCAGGATATCACGCGTGTTTAGCGGTAGGAAATCTCATAGGCAAACAGATTATGCACTCTACCACGTTTAACGGAACAATGACGGGGAACCGCGGTGTTCATTGGACGTTCAGGAAATTAGAAACGTTGCTTATAATATATGGACGAAAGCATAGCAATACAACAAACACTATACTAGTATAGCACTATTGTGCTATCAACAAATACGAGGCCTGGAATGACTGCACGACGAGATGCTGACTGACGACGTCATGTGATAATCTATCTGTCCGGTCCGTCTGTTCGTTCGTCTGTTCGTCCGTCCATCCACCCACCCGCCCGACCGCACACCCACCCATCCATCCATCCATCAATCAATTAATCAATCCATCCATCAATCAATCAATCCATCCATGCATCCATCCATCCGTCTGAGAGGGAGTTTAGTTAGATAAATACACTTGAAGACAAATAATTCACAGGATACCACATTATATATATTCACAGAATGACACAGAATATATCGTACCATAGTATCAAATGTATGAGAATGGGTTATTTTTCTTATAGTACGGTGACAATTAGAGATTAAGACTACCAGGTGATACAAAACAAATGCTGGTATGTAGGCAGGCAAGTCACCATCCTGTGAACACGTGCATACATTGTTAGGTACACTGCCACTATTATAGATAGCTTTGTTGCATCACCTTCTACTTAAAAACCCTAGACACTGCCACTATTATAGATAGCTTTGTTGCATCACCTTCTACTTAAAAACCCTAGACACTGCATTCGGATGCAATTACTATTAGTTATTAAAATAACACTGCATTCGGATGCAATTACTATTAGTTATTAAAATAACACTGCATTCGGATGCAAACACTATTGACTAAAATAAATACAACTAAAAAAACAAATCTACAAACTAAATATATATATACAATTATCAAGCCATCAAAAGAAGGCACATGTTATTACAATCATATTCAGAATTATTGCTATTTGCAAACTTGCATTTGTGCACTCAACACATTGCATCACATGAAATTGGTAGAATTTTTGTTGCATTTTTTATTTGCAAACGTGGAAAGGCATTTAAGACCTATCAATTGGTTTCATTGGTTCAGGTTTTTTGATCATGCTCCTCGCTTTCAGTTGTAGACGCCTCTCCGTATAGTGCGTTGTGAGCACCTACAAGGTATTGCCTCTGCTGAGCTTTCACTGCAAAATTTAGCAGCGTTAATTTTATATCGTTTACATACATACACATGTTGCTCGTTTTTGCTTTACAGCACGCGTACGCTTCGCAGCGCAAATACAATCAGGCATAACATGAAAGGTAACATACTGCGATGAGGATTACAACTTGGCTGTTAATCTTTGCAAATCGTAAAAAAAATTATTTACTTGAAAAAAATGCATGCGAAAAAATCACTGCAAGCGCACATACCTTTCTCCCGAGACATTTGCTTCTGCACTTCAGGCAGCAAGAAACTGTGCACCAGTTCGGCAACGAGATCCTCCCTTTCTAATAAAGACATCCTGCAGTAAAAAAATGTCATGCAAATAATAAGGTCAAGGTATAAAATATTTGATCACATCATATGTCACCTGTTGTTTAATGAAATTGTGTGATTTTCGACACAAAGGGAATGGGAAACAGATAAAGTTTTCTTTTCGATTACCTTTCCTCGACATCGTAAGCAACATCGTTGATGTGATGGGCCATCTTCTGAATGTCACTCCTAGCTTGTTGGTCGGCCGTATTTTCGACTGTCTGTAGTATGACGTCCTCTAGGTACGTGTCAACCGTGTCCTGGTGGACCTGCAATAACAGTACTAACACAGATTCAATACCCGCACATGCACACACGCATGCACGCACACACGCACGCATGCACACACGCAGGTGCGCACTCACACAGGCTCACGCACACACGCACGCACGCACAGACGCAAGCATGCACACACGTATGCACGCACGCACGCACGCACGCACACACAGGTGCGTCTGTGCATACACATCGCATGTACATACAGATTGAGGAGACGACCGAAATTGAGGGAAAAAAATATTCACACATGGAGCACACACGTCAATCAAGTTCAGTCCAGTATGAAATTTAATCTGAACTCGCACCTTTATGAGCTGTTTGAATATTTCGTCTTCCTCGCGTCTCCTCCTCTCTTCCACCTGCCTGCGACCAGACTCCTCAGCCTCCCTCATCCTTCTCTCTCTGCAAGGATTCATACATGATATATAATATCATGATATATCACCATATATGATATCTACGCTATACGGGAGACTTCGTAGTCTGCCAATTGCCACTGTTGGTTATCAGATTAAAATCAAACACTGCATGGCAGAAATGTACACTGCCCATGAAAGAATCCTTTAGTTACCTCGTGGTGCCACCTGTAGGCAACACAATCAACTAAAGGTAACTAAAGTATGCAGTAGTCCATTTTCCCCCAAAAAGGTATGCGACTGCTACCGTGAAATTATATACTTTGAATATACGTAAGTGCGTGCTACCCCGAGTTCTACTGCCCCTCAGAGCAGTTTCCTCCCGCGGTGAGGCGCGACAAGATTTCGATCTTACCTCTCGGCCAACATGGCGAGGGCGTGAATGCGTCGCTCTTCCTGCAAGCGAATCAACTCCTTGCTGAGGAAGTCCAGCATGCCAGCGATGGCACCGCCTTCCATCTCACTCAGCACTTCGTCTATGCGATACTCCTGTGAAGAGGTTAGCAGTGCATGTTAGTCGAGTGCGATGCGTGTGCGTTGTAGTCGAAGCCGATGGAATATTGTGATAATTCGCGTAAAAGGTGTGAAGATCGATCGGCTGCATCCGTCTTATGGTTTCTAAAGTCGGACGATATTGGCAAAAATTCTTAGGAATTCACACAGATTGCTAAGAGCTACTGTGAAGGTTCCTTTTTTTTACAGGGTTTTGAAGAACCCAGTGTGCCACATGTGCAATTCTTTTCCTTGTGTCTCACTCAACTTCCTAAAGACTGACATGATTTCTGTATAACATTTCTGGTATTACTTTAATTCCCATGCTTGCAAGCTGGTTTTTTTCTCTCGTGTTATCCTTTGGAACATACATGTGCTCACAGCACTTGTAAATGCCTAAAAAATACCTTGTTTTCGAGTAGCTTTATGTGCCTCTGCAGTGCCATGGTGGCCTGTCTGTCCAGCTTCTTCACCTGCTGTTCTGCCGTCTGCAGGGCGTGAGTGCTACGCAGCTCATCTATGAGCTCTGCCCGACGTCCCTTGCCCTCATACATCTAACAGGAGGAAGAAGCAAGAGACGCTACGTTAGTAACACACACGGGACGAGTTACACGCGTACACCCATCAGAAAATGCACGTTTTCCAGCTGGCAAGGGATGTTACATGTATGTTTTTATGTAACATGAGAAATTGCTTGGAAATATATATTTCACCATTCAAGCACATCTGCAAGATATTTGATACAATGCAGCCAGTTGACAGGTGCTGACATCTGGTGGTAAATAAAATATCACTGCTTAGCAGCTTCACGCAATATTGAGCTTGTGGAGTAAGAAGATATTAACAATGATAGCTGCCCTGACTGTGAATTAACATTTATATAATGATAATGCGAATGGCAACACTAGCCTAGTGCAAAAATCACGACACAAAGTAACTCACCGCCTTAGCAAACTGAGCTAATAAATACATGCATCACTACGAAAAAGAAATTCCACCAATCGCTGCATACCATGTTTTGGATTGCGCGACCTCGCACGACCCTCTGCAAAAGGATGACGGCCAACTCTCGCTGTTCTTCTTCCTCACATGGAATAGACACTGTGGGAGTGGGAGGTCGTGGCACTGGCTTCTCAATCTTTTGCAGGTAGCGTGGAGCGGACTTCACTGGAGTCGGTGCCTGCTGCTCCTGCATACAACCGTGTGCTTAGCCAATGTGCAGTAACCACGATTATTTTTTTAATTAGAACAAGGACTTGAATATTAATAATGTTCGCATTGATAACGAAAGACCATCAGTCAGTTATACGTCAACTGTCCTTAGTAGACCGATGGCTAACTTATAGAATTACGTTCAGCAAACTATTAGAGAACAAACAAATTTCCATTTTAATGCACTCCTTCCCCTGGATGCAATGTGTGCAGAGTGTCTTAGATGCAATGCATGCAACCTGTCTTGCATAAAGACAATAGTAATAGTGACTGGGGTGAGAGATGCATCCCAATCCTTCCCTTTAAAAATCTGAATGCTAGCCATTCAGCAATGCTGCACATCTTTACATTATTACACTACAATACCTCAGATAAATGTAAGGTAGATCATGTAAATATAGAATGTATGCTCGATTAGCTCTAGCCGTGAATGAATTTCTAATGTAATACAATTAGCTTCGAAAACGGAATTCATCGGCCGAGTCTGCACCTACCTTCTTGATGGCGGCATACACCTCATCGAGTTCCTTCTCCCGTCGAAACGCTCGCTTAACGAACCCGTCTTTATCGGTGAATTTCGGCTTTGGAGGTGTGATGGAAGGTTCGAGCACGTTATCAGGCAGGAATGCTTCCAGCTCCAACAGACCTAGCACGTGAAAACGTAGAAAACATACGCACGTACAAAAAAAATGTAGAAAATGTAGTAGATGATGTACATAATATGATGTAAATAGTTCGATGGACGTAGGAGGATGTAGAAGTATGATGTACGTACAAAACGTAGAAATATAGAAACGTGGAAACGTAGAAAATAGGGATTTGTTCTTGTCTCTGCTAGCTATGAACTATCTATGACCTCCAATTTTTTAAGGAAAGCGTCACATGGATTCATTTGTTTGTTGGTTTTTTTAACATGCCAATCACTGCACTATTCGTTGCATGGATAACTTGTTTCTATTATAATAATAATGAATATATGATATATATGACAGAGTAATAATAAATGATGATAGAAAAATAGAAATAATGATCTTCCTCACTTACACATAAAAAGACAATTAAGAAAAATCATTTCTAAAGTCCTGCATTTGATCGTAAATATTTTTTTCATGCAATACCTAGTCAGTGATTGATAAATACAATCATCATACCTGAGTAGGAGTCTAGGTATTTGCTTTTCACTCTGTACTGGTCTGCATTCACATCCTGGAACACACCATTACGGCAAATGGGCGCGTAGGTCTGTGATCCATGATTCGAATAGTCTTGCACAATGTCCCTTTTAAGTGGCCGCCCAAGCACCTGCTTCCGTTTCTCTAGGAGCTTACGCATTGCTGCAATACACGTGTTCCATTCATGCTATAATTATCAGATGAATAACAGAAATATGGGTGCTTCCTGGCACAATACTGATCCTTTTTTTAGTTGAATGCATAATTTGATTCCTCGCCATCACATCTATTTCTCGGCAAAGTTAAAACTAAATATATTGAAGAAACCTTAAATAAAAAAGCAATTTCCAACCACTGTAACAAAAAACCTCTGTCAAACATTTATGGCTGTGAACAATACAATATCATATAAATCTAGGTGATTGCAGTTATAATCTATATAGTGACTCGATTTCCAACCATTGTTACTGTAACTTACTTTAGCCTATATTTATGAATGGTTTACAAATTCCTGAGTATGTCATCCTGTATCGTGCCCTATATGAATCTGACCTTACCTTTCACATGTTCAGCTTGTATATGTTTGAGCTTTTCTTCTTTCACATTTTGCTTCTTTGACCACATCTTATCCAATCGCTTTTTGTTCAGTTGCAAGTTTTGCTTCTCTCTGTCCTTGAGCAATCTCTTCAAAGTCGTTAACCTGGCCTCTTGAATCCTAAAAGTATTATAGAACACATATGTATAAGACTTATCGATGTACTCGCCACGTTAACGTGTAAAACTTTGCGATCTGATTCTCATACTAGCCAAAAGTTTGCTGCTCGCGTACAATTTGAACAAATCAATTTCAATCAATTTCAATTCAATTCAGGTTTTTGTGAAACCTGAATTGAATTGAACTTGAACTTTGAATTGTTACTTTGATAAATAAATAAATGAATATAAGCTGAACACGCCTGTATATTTCAGTTTCCCTGAATGCCCATTCCTCTCTCTCCATCTCTTCCATCATGTGCTGTCTTTTATGTAGCTGTGTCGGGTCACTGATGGGTGGCAACGTGGCCTCCCACGCTCGCTTGGCCCGCGCTCTCTCTATCATCTCCACCTCTGCTAGTCCCGCTGGTAGTCCATGCCCTGTATGCAGATAAAAGACTGATGAACTAAAAGGGTTCCAGTCTTAAAGAAGTTCGGCAGAGCGGTGGTGCCAATCTAACATCTCCTGCTTAGCTCCCAATGCTGTTGTTGCTGCTGCTGCTGCTGTTACTGCTGCTGCTGCTGCTGCTGCTACTGTTGCTGCTGCTGCTGCTACTGTTGCTGCTGCTGCTACTACTGCTGCTACTGCTGCTGCTGCTGCTGCTACTGCTGCTGCTGCAATTCGTGCTATATTGCTGATATTGTAGCCGAACCTAAAAATATCTGAGCCCTATTACCACAGTGAACTTCACTTTCACACATAGGAAGTTAGAAAGGGTTTACACACCTGAAGAGCACAGGCAGGTGTTGCTGACAATCAGAAGCTAGTAGTAGCATTCAAACAGACCATGTAAGATCAGCAAAAAACTGTCATTTGCTCACATGACTGGCTGAGCAGTTCGCATACACTCGCAGTCTTCATGCATTAACTCGATATATACATGGCTCAAGAGTGACTTCTTACCCCATGCCAGTGTGCTGAGCGTAAGGATCTCAGGATTCGAGCCTGGCTGGATGTGATAGCCAGGGCTGTAAGGATAGGTTTGAGTCTCGCTGTCTCTGTAGTCTGTCTGTACATACACAGTTCTTGTTTTGCTATCCGAGTGCTGGGGCTCTTCTGGTTGTTGCTGAAGCAACATGCCATCTCCCCTGTCATTGACAGACAAAGAACCATGAGTCATCCATACTATATGATAATAAATAATTAAAGCAATTTTTAAAAAATTACTGAAAATGCATAATAGATGTCTATTATTAATTCTCTAATTACATTTATTTAATTTCTTTAAAAAATATTAATCTGCTCTCTCTCTTTCGCTATCTCTCTCTCTCTCTCTCTCTCTCTCTCTCTCTCTCTCTCTCTCTATATAGTATATATCTTATAATATATAGTATATATATATATATATAATAAGAGTTTTTGCAGAAATTTTGCAGAATAATTATTAGCCTGAGTCTTCAAATTAAATATGAATTTAATGATTCAATGTACTGTAAAACCAACCTGCCAGTTTGATCAAGAACAACTCCTGCTGGTGTCTGCTGGATAAAGGGAATCAAAGGCCTGCAAGATAAACACGTTTTTTTACCATTATAAATTCTAACAAAAAGGCCTATACTTCGGAATATGCAATCAAACACTTTAATGATTATATGCATGATACACGATCCCAAAACAGCAGTAGAGTATTATATATATATATAGATATTATATACCTTCTGAAGAATTTGTAACGCTCGCTACCAGTGATGTGCTGTTCACTGCTTCCCATCTGTTCGTTAGTTCCTCTCCAGTCCCGCATGATCCACGGCGGAACAGGGTCAGTAGAGTCCAGCTCCACGGAGAAGCGTGGGTGGTGACGCAGCTCACTGAACATCGTGCCATACTTGGGGAGTCGTTTCTAGAAGCAGGATTCTTATATGAAACTACACAGAGGTATACTATATGCACTACACTTGCTACATTCTATACTAAGTCTTATACGTACTACACAATACAATCTACCCAAGTCTACCAAACGTGAAGCCAACGGTCAAGATTTTTTTAAATATTTTCCATTATATTCTTTTATGGTAATTATTATGTTTCTGATATTGTGTACGGCAGAATTTATTCGACTTACCACTCGTTCCAGAGAGGTTTGCGCTTTGGTTGATGAACGAGCGTGGTCCCTCTCACTTGACGTAGTATACAGAGGATCTTTAATACAACAAGTATAAACAAATGAGAGCTCTGCGGTTGAATTTCTCCTCAGAAAACCAACATTACAAATACGACAAATATTGATTGCTATTCAGTGAGACATTGCACACTACCACACGATTAATGCAAATTGTGTTATTCTTTAACATTATAAAAACAAGCATAGAATACGTAGACAATATATTTTATAACATATAATAGACATCTCCAACTGTCTGAACAAGAAAAATGGGTATATAGATATGTATAATGAAATTCCATAATCATGCCATTGCCATACATTAGCATTATAACAGCATGATTGTGTCGACACTGATCTGCACTAGCCATGCTTTGCTGACCTGAACATCTCAGCTCATAAGTTTAAAAATGTAGCAGCTAAGCAACAAAATCTCACTATCTCCATAGCACCTCACATGCAAGTTTGTGTTGAATGGAAAGTGCAAAGAAAGGCATTAGTTTAAAACCTTCCTGAAGACGTTTGTGATAAACTCTGGCCAAGAAACGAAACATGTGTCAGTGAATGACCCAAGCTAAAATGGTTATAATAGTCATACAGAATACATAGCCATGCTGCTTTGCATTATCATGCTATAGAACATACCAGGAAATAACATGCTGCAATCTACTTAGTTAATTACCAGAGCAATACATACAGGGTGATGCCTTATGCATTACATGAACATTTTAAACTAGGAACTACCTAGTAGTGAAGTTGCACTTACAATTTTGCACGTGTGTAGGAAACATTATTTACAGGTGCTATATAGTTGACTATATTTCTATTTTTATTAAGTGGTGTTCAGTGACTGTAGGTGATAAAGAATTAAACTACAGAGGCATACATGTATGTGGTCTCTGAACCTGGCATCTGTTTGACTTTTTCTTCGACAACATGATAACCTTGCATGAGAAGAATTCATCACATTCTCACCCTTATAGAGATTTAGCTATTCCAGGAACACGAACCTAGACTTCTTCCATCAGTACCTTGAATGCAACTCGAAAACAGTTCTAACTATGTTTATAGTACTATATGCTGCTATAGTAGTATGGGAATGATTTTACATGTTTATGCAACAAAAATCACAGGAAAATGCTTGAGGACAAGGGAGAAATTGTAGGTATAAGCCAGGCAGATTATACAATAGGGTATATATATGGAGAGACATGGAATATGAGTGTGGAAGGCCAGTGATGGTGCAGCAATTATTGCAATAGGATATCCACGGAACGATACACGATTATCGAAAATTCAAGTCTTCAGTTGGCACACAAGTGTGAAGTTATTGCGTAAAAATACAAAGTTACTGCATTATCTACCCCTTATTTCACTCTACCATAAAGCCCTGTTAGATCTGGCACTGTAGGAAATTTATGTGGCATGGATAAAACGTGGAGGTGGTCTAATTCTAATTAAGGTTGTGTGCATGATCTGAACACACTACCTCAGACTCAGTACCTGCCAGGTTTTTACACCTTGAGAAAATTCATTGCCCTGGCCAAAATGTGGGCATGCTAACCAGTGACAAGGAACTGGAACTGTGCGCAATCGTAGTTTGGGATCCCGGCTCTCATTGTCACAAATGTTCTAAACTTATCTGCCAATTGCCAGCAAGCGCTGCAATTTTCCCCTAAAATTGTCCCCTACAGCGTTATTCTAATCGGTAATCCTAGTCAGGCTAGTGCACAGAGAATAGTAGCTCTAGAACTTAGAAGTAGAAGTAGAACTCCCTTCGGTGTCGCTCCGCGCACAAGTGCCTGTCGCAGAGCGAAGGGCTATTATACAGTGCTAAGGACAAGACTGATTCGGTGCCAATGGCACTGGCACTGCCACTCATTCATGATTCATTGGCATTGTCATAGCCATAGCCGGCATAGACTTAACCTACACTGCACTGGCACTGCCACTGCATAGTCGCAGACTGTGCAGTGACACTCGTCACTCTGTCTCCGTCACTCGCACTGCGGATTGGCGGATTGCGAAAGTGCAATGCTCACCGTATAAATAATCATGAGTTCGTGAAGCTTGTACATGAGACTTCCTTAACGTTAGTGTTTTGGTGTTTGATGCCATCGTTTAAATGACTCACAGTGACTAACAATACATTTAGTTGCAACGCATCGAATACTGTACATAAAATGCGGAGAGAAGTGCAGAGATTTTATGTTGCCATGTCAACCATTTTCGCGAGATCACTTGTCTTAGTATCCCGACACCTAGTGGTGATCTTTAGAACCCACAGACCTGAGACCTGCCACAAGTGAAGTGTAACTAAATTAGTAAATATTTAATTCACTGTACTTTTCCAACATAAACGTTAAATCTAAAGTAATTAGTTAAAGTAGTAACTAGTGTAGGGTATAAGCATTTCTTTACGCATTTCTTGCACTTCATTTCTATGTATTTCTTGGGATAAATAATTCTAGTTCTGCGTGCATGCCGCTCGACTACCTCGGCTCATGCAGAGTCTGGCCCGTACTCCGTAGGGTCTATGACAGTCTCCCTGACCTCTGTTTGACCTGGCTCGTTTAGCTATTTCTGACTAACCCTAACCCTAACCATATCAGATAGTTACCAGGGTTAGGGTTGGTCAGAAATAGCTAAACGAGCCAGGCCAAACAGAGATCAGGGAGATATAGGCCTTATCTGCCAGTCGGTGCTCACCACGATTACGGATTAGACTACTACTACTACTAGTACTACTAGGTCATTAGTCAATCATTGGTGAAATTGAAAAGCCGTATATTTAGATTATGGCCGTGGCTACGCGACCGATTCCGGACGAGGAGCCGCTAGGCTACGCGTCCGGACATCCAACTCACACAGTAATCTTGCGACACGTACACGCATGAATTGCGAAAACGGGACGCTGCTGCTATTGCCGAGTGTGTGTGTGTGTGTGGTGTGTGTGTGTGCGTGCGTGCGTGCGTGCGTGCTGCGTGCGTGCGTCGCGTGCGTGGCGTGCGTGCGTGCGTGCGTGCGTGCGTCGTGCGTGCGTGCGTGCGTGCGTGCGTGCGTGCGTGTGCGTGTGTGTGTGTGCGTGTGTGTGGTTGAGAGCGAGATGATAGAGCTAGAAGTGTGTGTGTGTGTGTGTGTGTGTGTGTGAGAGGAGAGAGAGAGAGAGAGCTGTGCGTGTGTGAGAGAGAGAGCGAGAGATATTGGGACGGATGAAAAGGATAGACGGCAGAGTGCATATATTATTACGGCTTATACCGTTTTACTAATTAGGAGGCGTTCACAGACTTTAATGTCTTTATTCGTGTGATAGGTAATCAAGGGAGGCTTAACCTAACGCCTAACCATTAACGTATATTGTATATTTTTCGGGCAATCAGCAGACGGGTCCCGTGCCAATCATGCGGTAAGTCGAGTCAACGGCGATCACTGTGTGAGTGGATGTTACGGATGCGTAGCGCTGAGGGCGGCGACCGGTGCGGACGCGTAGTCACTAGCATTTAAATTATTTGCTTCAAATTATAGCAACATTCCACAGCAGCACTACAGCTACATTAATTCAATAGTTTTAATGCGGATATGTTTAAATAGACTTTTTCACGACTAAAAGACTGCTTACGATTGAAATTAGCAGTGGATTTGCTGTTCGGCACTTGCTCAATCGTTCCTCACCGACTCTGAGTCCCTACCTACTAGTTTTGCTGTTGCCAGTTTGAACTCTCAGCCTTAATTTTTGAAATGTGGCTAAACTAAGCCGGTCTAAAGTTTTCTAGGATTGGGCCCCGGCATTGTTGATGTTGGAACATCTCCAAATCTCATATTCATTTAAATCTATATTATTATATATAAATTATTAAAAAATCAACCGTTACAATATAATTCAATTATGCATCATAATATGTCATTTACTGTCGACAGTAAAATGCATGCGAGATGTCGCGAAGATTGCTCAAATGCCGGTTACACAGCGTGAATTTAATAATGAGCATTTACAAACCAACTATTAAAGGCATAATAGGTCCATTGATTATGGAATTTTAACGAATACTAGAGTAACTGGCACCTTGTGTAGTTAATAAGTATTAGTTACCTTATAGCCAAACGCGTATTAGTTTCTCCAATATCACTGCTAGTTACTAAGAAATGTCGAATTGAAATCCGTAAATCTGGTAATCTGGCGCCAACGCTAAATTGCTTGCCAAGCAATATAGCCTCGATTTCGGTTCGGTGACGTCACATGTTGCTACGGGTGTTTAGCAGAGAATTGTTTGTCCCGGGATGCTTATAACGACTAATGAGCTAGTAGAATGTATCTCTGCATGGGTGTATTCTCGGTATTGAGGCACAAGTAAATAACCGTGGGTACTAATGAACGGGTACCCACATGTCTTCAATTTCGAACACAGGTGTATTCGTTTGACCAATATACGTAAATGCGCGTAGTGCCGTCTGCTTTTCATGTTTAGTCTGTGGCCGTGGTTAGTCCGCGATCCCTCACATAGTGTTGGCCCCAAACACAGCCTACTTCATTATCACGAGCGCCCGTGATTCGTATTTACGTTAATTACAATCAGAGCTAGCGTAGGGCCTACTGTTACGTATACAGTTACGGCACTGTACTATCGCTAGCGTGCCAGCTGAGCGGCAGCGTGCCAGCAGCAAGAGCTTGCAATAGCTGGTATTGCAACGGTAATAGCTGGAGATGATCTCCCAGTGCGCAGAGATACTGCATATGAACGTAATATACACGGACGCTCGGGATAAGGTAAAATGACAAGGTAAGGATATAACGTTTTATCTGGGCTGTCCGTCTTCTATAGTTCGTAGGTGTCAGTTTTCGTTCGTGTGTTCTGCACCATTTACGTGTTTCCCATTTTATAGTGTAATAAACCACCACAATTAACCCACCACAATTAAGACCACAATCAACCCAATCCACAATTAAGACCACAATTAAGGATCGAAATCACTGATGATATAGCATTGCGTACGGCAGAGTATATGCGTGCGAAAATGTCCGGTGCACTATAAATCTGTATCACACCCGCTTTGCGGCAGCTTTTTGAAAGTGTGGCCAACCGATTTTTGGACTGTGGATTTCAATTCGACATTTCTTAGTAACTAGCAGTGATATTGGACAAACTAATACGCGTTCGGCTATAAGGTAATGTACTTATTAACTACACAAGAGGCCAGTTACTCTAGCATTCGTTAAAATTGCATAATCAATGGACCTATTATGCCTTTAAGCCAGACTAATAGCAGCTGCAACAGGAATTGGTGATGAATAAAAGTGACTATGTCTGTGAATATCTGATTTAAGTCTGTCAAGAAGTTCAACTGTTGTGGAAATTAATTTCATTTTGCATATTTTCTGTTACTTTCAGCAAAAGATGTTGGCTAGAATGTCATTATCCCACTTACGCCGGTTGGTAGCGACATGTGGCAGGCGGAATATTGGTTTCACTGCGATAGCAGCACAGAAAACTGCCAAGCTTGATCCTATTCAGCAATTGTTTGTCGACAAAATACATGAATACGACACAAAAAGCAAGTAAGTCTGTCTTAAATTATGTTCTTTTAAAATGTTTATAGTTTTACTTATTACTATTACTGATCTTTAGCATCTACTAATATTAGTACTCAGTACTGCTAGCAAAAGTCGCCAATCAACTAAAATATACAACACGTTTCCATCCCCCATAAGTAAGAGTTTGAGCACTAGCAGTTCCAGTACAGCTATTACATCTGGTCATTTCAATGTGGACAAATGTAAAAATTTTTTTACATTATGCAGTACGTTATGGTAATGTAATCGGTAATTGTTTGCTCTAGGACTGCAGGTGGAGGGCTAGTCGACCCTTCTCCAGAAATCGGGAAGGAAATGCACGATGAACAGGAGAAAATTAAGAGGCAGTACTCTGATGGCAAAGAAGTGAACCTATCTGATTTCCCCTCTTTTCAATTCACAGGTATAATACGTAATAGAAGCATACAATGTAAGGAGTATAATAGGTATAATAGTATACAGTAGTCAGTTAAGTTGTGGCTGTAGCTTGGGCATTTTGAGTTTGGGCAGCAAAGCAGTTTTTTTTGCAAAATTTACATGTGTATGATTTATTGAAATAAATATTTGTTAGACTTATCAGGTTGTTCAATGCACGAAGTAAATGTTGCGATTTCTTCTCTGACAATTAGATCAACTATTTCTGAAAGTTTCTATGGCAACTGGGCAGGTGACAAGTTGATTATAATAGATTGTCTCAATGTGACAATGCAGTAAAAATAGTTCATGACATATCTCTATATGTATATCGCCAAAAAATTTAAAAATTGCAATGGCGAAATTAAAGTAGACATTAGTAAAACAATGATGAGACGTGATATAAGCTAATGTTTGGTATACTTTATAACACTTCAATTTCATTTCCAGAGCCATCTGTGGATCCTATAAACATGGATGGGAAGAAGTGAGACCAATAAACAACTAGGACAAATTTCCTGAACTTGTACTTGATACAAGTTCGTCTATAGCATCAGTAGCATCTATACAACTGAAATAATTTATACATAGCGAGTTTAATTTCTCTTTATGAATAGTCGTGTTTGTTAATTGTTACAGTTACTTAATTAAAATGGATAGTTTCATTGTTAGCTCAAGTATTACTGTTATTTCTTCAAATTTTAAAATTTGACTTTCAAATTTATTTATTATTTACAATGTGGCACTCAGTTGAAGCAACTAACACATTCAACTGTTTGATAATGTGAATCATAACCTTATGCACAATTTGTATTTTGCACACCATAGAGTTACAATTAGTTAGACCAGTCATTTTATGGTGCATTGACATGGGGAGTTTTTGTTTAGAATTGATTTACATGGGACTTTTCGTGGTAATTATACATAAAACCTATTTAAATAAAAAGTGGATAGGTTTCTCGTCACAAATTTATTTCACTCCAAATATTGGATAATGTAAAAGTAATTGCATTTATCACAGATTACATATATGAATCACAGCAAGGTAGTGAAAGTAAACGTCAATGACAATAAGACCTAACATCTATATTAATTTTGTAATATTTGTAAAATAGTACTAAAAAATTGCTATCACAGTTGCATTCATGGATTATGTGGTATAAACTGGCAGCTAAAGTTTCCATGTAGGCCAGCCAGTTTTCAGTTGCCAGTTTACATAAATATCAGCAGGAGTCAGTATTTGTCATTATACGCTCCTGATATCAGACAGCATGCATGCACGAGCTTTCCTAATAACCTACTGGCATTATCTGTGCTGTGCCTTCACATACTGAATAGTGCAGCCAATGAGCCATGAACATGTAATAAATAGCCAGCAGTGCAAACCAATACTATAAAAGTATATTGAGATATTAATAATTTAACATAGTGACTTCTAACTGCAATGGTATCAAATTTAGGCTGAGAGGGTCTATGTCTCCCTGGGTACTGCCGGAACGTACCCTGGTAACTATCTAATATGCCGAGTATAAGTATAGTATAATATCTCCTAACGAGTCTAGGGAGTCGCCTATGCCTACTCCCTAACCCTAACCCTAACCATATCAGATAGTTACCAGGCCCTGAGGGTACGTTCCGGTATACCGGATCGTACCCAGGGTACGTTCTGGCAGTACCCAGGGAGACATAGACCCTCTCAGCCAAATTTAGGTGGTCAGCAATAGGGTTTCTCTGATGTTTTTAATGACAAGTTTTACATATTTGTGTATATTAAGAGCAGATGGTGTGATGACTTGCGCTATACCAAATACACACACACATGGAAATACACATTGACATTAGCAACACTTTTACACACAATATCACAACAAACTCATTAAATACAATAAAGGTACCACAGCTTAAACAAAGGGCAATCCCCCTGTATAAGACTTACATATCTAATCAGAATAAAAATCTATAGAAAGATATGTACCCGTGTACGGCTAATGATTAGTTTACTCCTTTGTTTCTCTGCAATATCTGCTATGTTTCTTAGCAAGATTATCGACAAGCTTGAGCTCTATCTCTACACCTTGATGTAACTCTTCCTTACTGATTGCCACTCCTTCAACTTCACCACTTGTTACAATAATGACTTGTCGTTTCCTTGTCTCCAAGACGTTCCCGACTACAACCTATCACATGAAACACAGGAAGCGGTTTTAGAAAAAAAAATCTAAAAGATTTTCATGCGGCATATTTGCCTACAACGTTCTTAGTGTAATTCAACTATTAATAATACATGGTTAGAGGTTAACACTCGTATAACAGCAGAATATCATGAATAATGTGTTACATACATTATGCTGATATTTATCAAGGGCACCCTCTGACTTCTGCAGCAACAGCTCTTTGTTGGTTTCCAGCTGAAAGATGCATATGAAATATGCAGTGACATATAAAAGCAACGTCAGAACAATGAGTTGCAGTGCCAATCAAAGAAGTGTGAGCAAAGAACCACGGCATCAACCATTAATACCACAAGAAATATATTTAATCAAGCAAAACAAGATAATATATCTAGTTACGGTACAATTGCTGACATTAAAATAAAAATTAAGATTTTAACAGCAATTTTGTACTATATAAAATGCTGTCTTTTAGATGCAGATGACATTTTGAATTGTTACACAACTCCACATCGCTGCGTTACACTAGCTTATAAAAGTTGACATTTACACGTGAAACTGCATAATTACAAGAAAACAAACCTTGAATGATACAATGAAGGCATCGGGTGCCCAGTCTTGCACCAGCAAGCCGATCATCTTAGGGACTGCCTGGAGGGTTACGGTGAGAGGTTTACCCGACGACTGGATTTTGTGCTCCGGCTATTAAATACAACGTAGAAAGAGAATTTATATTCCTAGACTATTCCGACTTCTGTGTGACTTCTTCAATTCCAACTATCACCATCTCTATTTGTATTGTACGTGTTTTTCATTCCAAATATATGGTTTTGATGCAAACCTTTACCTTTTCTGGGTACTAATACTAGGGACTCATGATAAGATTAATATCTTGTGATTAGAGATACCAATAGTGTAATTTACTGATTACTGGCAGCCGGGGAAGGATTGTCATATATGATTAAAACAACATTGGCTATTGCTTTTTTCACCCGAACCTTTCCCAAACATTCATCTTGCTTTAGAGGTTTTATATGGCATTTACGAATGGTTAAATGTGCCTACTAAAACATTACTAGAGTTAGTTACTGTATTCAATTGACTTTGTCTGCCAGTGTTAATCGAGCGACAGTATGTTGTAAACACCAAAACCTTTCTTCCTTATACTGTCTGTTCAACAAATGTCTGGCCTGAACTTGTTCGCAATATTTCAAAAAGATGACCGAGTTCTCGTGAAAATCCTTAGCAAAAACGTGAAACATGCTGAATACTACACGTGTTTGGTTGTTAGCCCTGCCAAAAACAAGTGATGTCCGTTTCATACGTACCAACTCGGTGGATGGAATGTAGAAGTCTGACACTGCTGAAGCCAGATACAGCATAGCATTTCTACCGATCACGTGCACAGCTTCGGCTGCGGCTCTCAGCAGAAACAGGTAATCAGTGACTGTCGTAAACTCCAACATCAGGAATCTCTTCTGGTTGCTGACATCCTGATATCGCAGAAGCACCGACAATAGCTTCGGAACTACATCGTCCTTCACTGCAATTAAAATTACAGGTTAACAACAGAGACCTTTTTTTCACCTCGCATTATAGGTACCAAAAAAACAATCTTTAAACTAGTTATTGCTTTATATTCCTAAATTCAACACAATAATGCCCTGCCATGACATGCCAACATTGCATTTTAAAGTTGACAGGTAATAGAACTTCAACAAAATATAAAAACGAATGCATATAGCTAACCTATGTTTAAATTTAGGTCTAATAATATAAATAAGAATTAAAGCGCAAACCTGAGACGTGCGACCTTTCATCGTTGACAGCGAGGTGTTCTAAGAACTGTGAGCAGTTGAAATGACGATAGTATGGAAGCAATGCTTCCTTCCTATGCAAAAATATCACAGCATAACCTGCCTCCAAAAAATACCTGTTAAGAATGAAGTTAAGAATATCTACATGAATAATTCTTTTCCTAGAAATACCCTAGCTCCTTCTTCCTTCAACAATATGCATTGCTCTGCTAGGATCATATCAGTAGTAGATAATAGGGAAGATAATAGTTCCCTATTATCTACTACCGATCATATCTCCTGGATCATATGCATCGCCATTGCTAAATGTATTCACAAAATGTCCAATATGAACAAAGGTTAAGAAGTCTCATTACTCCTTAACAACTGATTAATCAAGGATACTCTGCTGATGCTGCCCCTCTTGATCCAGTGCTGAAGTTATCAATGAAGCGTACAGCCCGATGCTCCAAAGGCACTGTCGTACCACCAGACTGAAAAGAAAAAGAAATGCCACGACATGATAATGGTTCATAATCTCATAACTCCTGCTGCCTGCCTCTACAATCATCTCCATGGGATTTCTAGGCCGAAATTTTCAAAAAAGATCCTAAGTTGCGCCAACCAATAGAACGGATGCACGCAATCGGTGTATTGAACCAATTCTAATCATGTAGGCATTTGTTCAAAGGCGGCATCATTAATTTTCCCTCAGTCAAAAAATGCCCATATGTTAAGTGTATTGTTATGCCGTATAAGTTGTGGACATTATATTTTTTTGCTTTCACAATTGTTATTATATACTTTGAACCAAAATAGATTTAATTTTATTTTCATATGTTCAAGTTAAAACTGCCCCAAAACCCCCCAAAATCCAGAAAGCATTGACAAAATTGGCAAAACCCTCCTTAAAAAGTTTTTAGAAATTTCTCCCAATTTCTGACACTTTAGCAACAATTAAGTAGGGAATTACCTTTGGCTAAGACACACTTTCTTCGCCTTGTTTAGTTAATGTGCCCAACACAGACGAGTTGCCATTAAATACATGAGTATTAAATTAAACACCACTAAACATTGTCCTTTCGACGCTGAATGACGCAAAAAAGTTGGGTACAGTCTTTAAGCCCCCGTGGGGCACACGTGAGTTTATTTTACTCAATTAAAAAGATACCCGCAACGGAGGGTCAAATTTACTCCCAACGAAAAATCCGCCGCACACGTGAGTAAAAATCACGGGGAACTCCGCCGCAGTCAACGTAAGTAAAAATGAACTCATCGCTCATGTTTACCTTGTGTTAAAATAACCTCACGTGTGCGGCCAAGGCATTAGAGTTAGGGTGTAAAGTTAATTCCATTTTGGCCTGGGGGCCCCGCAATGTCCATCTGCGTGGTTTGGTGTTCTTTGGGGGCCATGGTGCGAAACCATGGGGATAAACTCGAATCGCCAAATGCAGTGCCCGAGTTACAGTGTTGTTAACATTCCCTCTGGCCAGGGTAGGGGGGCAAACCCTTCCCCTGGCCCCACCGGCTACGATAGCTTAATATTATACTTCTTTTTTATACGCTCTTTGATTATTCATTGTAAAATGAAATACAATCAAGTAAAACGCCTTGAATAGGGGTCCCTAATGTTCCCCAGGGTACTGCCCGGAAAACGTACCCCCTGGGTACGGTCCCCGGTTAAGTAATAACCGCGGAAACTAA